GGAGGGCCACGAGAAGAGGTAGGGAAGTCCTGGGGAGAGGGATACGTTGGCTTCACTGGTTTCCAAGGAGGGAAGAGCTTAGGCTGTGGAAAGTAGCCCAAAATTTATGGAAGAAGGTGGACAAGAGTCACTCATGGAGGACTGAGCAGGCCTGGATAAGGTGTCATCTGGCCTGGTAGAGGGAATAGACAGATTAACCAGATCTCAGACCCCTTGGGATATGCATTCAGACTTCAGTGTGCTTCCAGGGCTCTGCAATCACACCTCTGTCCCCCCCACTCATTCCTTATGATTCTTGGCTTTGTCTTCCCAGACATTCTTCGCAGGTGTCTGTCCAGGGGAGGCCAGGCTGAGGGAGGCACTGGTGGACAGGGAAGAAGAGGGCCCTGGGAATGGATTCCACCTCCAGCACTCACCAGTTGTGTGACCAGGGTCAAGTCTCTCAGAGTCTCAGTTTCCTCATTTGTACAGTAGGGATAATGGTAAGTAGAGTATTAATTCTCCAGGGTTGTTGAGAGAATCAGACGGATTGGGGGGCACGTAAGCCAGTCTGACAGGCTCCTCTGCCACCTGTTACTGTCAGTCCTCATTTCCCAATTATGGCTCACGTTTGGAGGGGCGCTTCCTCATTTCAGGATTTCCATGTACTGACGAAGCCCCGGGCCCAGGCCCCATCTTACCCCTAGCCTACTTATCTGATACTTCAAGGTCTGCGAAGCCTCTTTACATAAATTGTCTCATTCAAGCCCACAGGAACCTGATGAAGCAAGCATTATTGTTAGCTCCATTTATGGGAGTGGAAACTGCCTCAGGCATCTTCAGTGACTTACCCAGGGTCCCACAGCTGGTGAGTCTGTGGCAGGATTCGAACCCATGTATTGTGTCATGGTGATGCTAGATATCCACATATGGGAGAATTTCTGTGGCCTTAGAGTAGTGCCTAAGTGCATTCCCTCATGTGGATGATGAGTGGGTGGGGCTCCATGGCCTCAGTGGCCCCTTCTGGCCCTAAGTCTATGGCTCTGTGTACATAGAGACAGCTACAGTACTATTATTGTTATTATTTTTCAAAGAAGAATTTCAAAGATGACTACAAACCTGCAGCCTCTAAGTTTTCCTATATTGTCTTAGGCCCAAACCAATTCTAAAATGATGAAAACCAGATTTTTGAAGGCAAAAGGTTAACCAACTCTCTAAGGAAGCCCTAATGAGGAATGGGAAAGGGCAAAGAGGCAGGACTTCTCCCTCATTATCATGGGACAGTTACTCAGCTTATGTTGAAATAGTAAAAAGAACCACTGATCCCTAATTGGGCCCGTTTTCTTTTTCAAGCAACTTTTCTGAGGAGCTCAGTTGGCCTGACTAAAATGTTCTTCCAATGAGCTGTCCCAGAAGGAGAAGCTTTGGGGCACTCGCCTTCAGAGAGCGATCCTTTTTGCTGGGTGTGACGGCACCTGACTGCAATGCCAGCTGCCAGGAGGTGGAGGCTGGGGGATGGTGTGAGTCCAGCAGCTTTGAGCTGCAAAGGGCCAAGTCCATTGGGTGTCCCTGGTGAGTAATGAGCCCTCAGGGAGTGGGAGGCCAGCAGGCTGCCCAAGGAGGGGCCAATCAGCCCAGGTCCAATCTTGTGCCCATTAGAGGGAGGCCGGGTGCTGGAGAAGTCCCTGCTGGTCCAGCCAGGGAGAGGTACAGGGATGCAGTGTTCTAAAAACAAGCAGCCACCAAACAAAGACATCCAAAACTCCCAGGAGAAAGGAAGTTGCTTGAGCTGGCCCAGCCCCTCCCTCCTCCAAGCATCTCTGCACACTTGGAATCCTTGACCCTTCCTTCTGCTCCTCCTTGTTCCCCAGCTCCCTCCCCATCCTCACTCATACACCTCTGTGATCTCCCCCAGAATCCAGGCCTGAGAGACAGCTGCCCTGAGTTAACCTATTGGAGCAGAGAATGATAGATGTGGACTTAGGTCATCTGACCTCTTCCTTTTACCGATCCTCTAAAGCATAGATATCTCAGTGGATAGAGAGCTTACTTGGGCACAGAAAGACTTGGGTTCAAGTGCTGCTTCTGAATGTGCCTGTCTCCACCCCAGTTGTTATTAAAAATGCAAAATTGGCTTCTCTGTAGGGGTGACATCAGGGGAATTGTCATAGGGTCATAGACATGAGGCAGAAGGGAGCCCAATCCTCTCATTGCTCACATAAGAGAACAAGTTCAGGTACTACTCTAAGGCCACAGAAATTCTCCTCTGCCTATATCCAGAGCCATCATGACATAGTGCAGGGAATAGGGAAGACCTGGGTTCAGATTCTGCCGCAGACATTTACAAACTCTGTGACCCTGGATAAGTCACTAATGCTCTCCGAGGCAGTTTCCACACCTATACATTGGAGGAAACAGCACTTGCTTCATAAGATTCTTGCGAGCTCAAATGAGACAAGGGATGTGAAAAGGCTTTGCAAACCTGAAAGGATTAGGTAAGTTGAATGCCCAATCAACTTGTGAGGGTTCTTCTTGAGGACAGGGGCTTTCTTTTGTCTCTCCCTCTTAGTGCAGCACCTGGCCTGTAGTTGCTGTCTAGTAATTTCAGGCATGTCCAACTCTTTGGGAACCCCATTTGGGGTTTTCTTGATAAAGATACTGACGTGGTTTTTCATTTCTTTCTCCACTTCATTTTACAGATGAGGAACTAAGGGAAGCAGAGTTAAGTAACTTGTTCAGTAAGTGTCTGACAGTGGATTTGAACTCAGGTCTTCCTGGCTCCTGGCTGGGCACTCTATCCACTGAGCCACCTGGCTGTCCCTGGCATGTAGTAGGGCTTAATAAATGTTTCTTGCCTGGCTAACTTCAGATCAGACTATGTTCATTTCTTTTGCTGATAGTGTTATTAGATTGGGAGCCATGAAGTAGACTTATGTGGTTGTCTGGTGGAGGGAACCATCTGGCAGAGTTTGGCACATAAGAGAACCCCAAAATGAGAGCTATGGTCCCTTTGGGCTCCCTCCCACTAGAGGAATGGGGGAATTACCAGATAGTCTTGGCCCCACCTCCTATTCCCCTTCACAAAGTAGTTTCTCCTCACCAGCCACTGCCCTCAGGTCTATCCTTTCACTCTGTCCCAGACAGCAATAAAAAGACTGACTCATTTTAGTCTAGGACAAAGGGAAAACTACCCCCCATATGAAGTTTGATTCTATATTTTAAGGACATGAAGAATTACTAATAGAAAACCACTGAGGTTCTCTCTGCTTAGAGTCCCCAGATAGGGAAAAAACCCACCAACATTTTGGACAGAGGTTGAAACTTCTGGTCTTTTTGGGTACAATTATGTATAAATTATTTACATTCTCCATTCCTTCTCTCTGCGCACAGTCACATCATAGACATGCATCACAAAGAGGGGACAATTTTTACATGTGACAAAATCACTTTGTTGAACCCCACTGGCTTTATGATCTCCACCCTGGAGATAAGGCCACACTCAGCCCAAATGCAGCCCCTGCTGCTGCCAGCATCCCAGAAATGACCCTTTGCTCCAATCCCAGGATCTGATCTTGGGTTCAGACGTACCAGGCCAGCCTCTGCCCCTCTGGAAGCAAAAGCACAAGTTCAGCACAGTCTTTCCTGGGCTCAGTCAGTCAGTCAACTAGCATTTATTAGGAACTACTACGTGCCAGCCACTGTGGTAACTGCTGAGGATACAAATAAAGGCAAAACACAGGAGCTGCCAGCCTGACCAGTGTGGAGAAAACACCCTGCCTGTCCAGGATCCTAGCTCTCAGGGTTAAGAGGCAGGCTGCAGAACTTTTCAGTCTCTCCCAGGAAGAAAGCCAGCCCGATGCCCCAGCCTGACCCTTGAGGACACAAACCCTCAGAGTCCAACAACCCGCAGTCTTCCTGCTCACTAGACATCTTTTCTCAGCAGGACGGAGTACTTGGGTCCCATCTATGTTATGGGGCATCCTTATGGAAAGACAGAGTGATATGGACTAGTTGGTGGCTGAGTTGGGGGGGGCATTCAGAGCTGGTTAAATGACTGATCCCAGAGTCTAGTCAGGTTGGACCCATGCCAATCTGAGGTCTGCAGGGGAGTGTCTGTGGGCTGCATCTGTGCTTGGCCCTGGGCTGTTCAACAGCAGATCAGTGACCTAGATGGCGTCATTTGCAGATGGCAAAGCTGGGATGGCCATCCACTATACTGGGGAAGTGGAGGAAAGAGCCCCAAAAGTCTCTGCTAGTGAAAAAAGATGGGACAATTCAAACAACATTCAGTTTAATAGAAACAAATGCGAAGCTTCATGCTTGAATTTAAAATGTCCTCTCTGAGAAAAGGGGCTGGAGGAAGGTGTTGCTAGACAATAGTGTCTGTGAAAATCACTTGGGGCTTTTAAGGGCTGATCTACATGCTAGCCTCCAAAGCTCATGCTAGCCAAGAATGCCCAGTGCCTGGCTTGTAGCAGGTGCTTAATAAGTCATCCTGAATTGACTTGAAACACATGAGGAAACCCAAACACTAGGCTCTGGGCAGAACTCTTCTGAGTATGGTCTTTCCTAATGGACCCCACAATTGAAGTACGACATTGACAAGCTGGGGCATGTCCAGGAGAAGGTGAGGTGTGGGAGGAATGAGAGACTGAGGTATATAGGAAGGAACTGAGGGATTTTAGTCTGGAGAAGAGCCTTAGATGGTTGTCTTTTGAAGGCATAACGACTCTACTATCCTTTTGAAGGAGCTCCCGGGAAGCTCAAAACCCCCTCTGAGTTACCCTGTCAAAGTAAGACCAGCAAAGCCCCTTTTCCAGGGAGTTGGGCTATCAATTAATCACCAATCAATCCCCCAGGTGTTTCTTCTCTCCTCCCAAACCACCACCCACCAGTACCAGTCCCTATAGTTCAGTCTCCTCACTTCCTTCCCCAATGCTTGGTCCTGCTTCACCCAGATAAGAACACTATTAAAATGTACCAGATTTTGCTTTCACATTCCATCCAGGGCTCTCCACAGATGGGGAGAGGGACACTATTCCACGGGGTGCCCACTTCTACCCAGGACCCCTGAGGACCTGGCCTGTTGCCATCATGCTCCCTGACGATCCTTCCTAAGGTAAGTGTGCCCCTTCTGCAAAGCTGGCTGGCTTTGCTGTCTTGTGGGCTCATATTGGGCTTTGCATTTACCCCAAATTCTGAGTCTTCCTGAGCCTTTGAAAACATTGGGAGGAAGAACAGAAAGACTGACCTGGGTATAAGGGACTTGTTTTTGGCCTTGGAAGAGAGAACTAGGAGGAGCCAAAGGAGGAGGGTGCAAAGAGATAAATTTAGACTCGATTTAAGGAAAATCTTCCTCCAATTTGAGCTGAAAGGGCTGCCTCAGGAGCACGGGGTCACCCGTCACTGGCCATATCGAAGTGAGAGCTGGATGACCACTTGACAATTGTGTCATAGAAGAGATTATTTTCCAGGCACCAGCTGGATGAGATGTCTTCTGAGGAGCCCTTCCAACTCTGAGATTCTCTGATTCGGATTTGTCGTCTGTATTCATAATTGCAGGGGATGCTCAATCTCCCTTAGAGGGTACCAGAAAATAAATAGGTCTTTTTCCCATCCAAGTTCATTGACCCCTAGAAATCTACCCCTAGAACCATAGACCCTAGATTAAGAACTCCTGCTTTATGTAAAAGAAGAAGAAAAGTTCATGAAAAGTAAATTGCTTTAAAAAAAAGAGAGAGAATTGCTTTGCTTATACCTCTAGGCATCATGATTAGTCTGGGACCTCTTCCTCCTCCCCCCTCTCCTGCCCCAGCTCTCCCACCCAGCTTAATCACCTCCCCACCCTCCCTTACGCAGCTCTGGCATTTGGGTAGGTTGCTTTCCCCCAGTGCCCAAGTGGTGGCTGCTTGAGCACTGGGAGGTGACTCTCTTCTGATGAGTCTTTGGACCAAAGAATGCTACACCTTGGAGACCACCTCACCAACCCTTCATTTGAGACAATAAAGTCATTCCAATAATCTTCACAGCACACAACAGAAGTTTTCCTTTTCCCCCTGTCAAATCTTATTTTTCTTTTCTTTTTTCTTTCTTTTTGTGCCACAGTGGAAATGCAAACTCTTTTGAAAAAATGTGTCTCTGCTGTTCACTCAGAGGCTAGGTCATCTGTTTACTGCTTGGGAAGAGGCAGTTCACTGCTCTGGAATTCAGTTTCTTCATTTGTAAAATGGAGCTAGACCGCAATCATAGAATCGGGGGCTTAGAACTAGAAAGGCCAAGGTGTATCAAGTCAACCTCTTCCTCTCATCTTGCAAATGAAGAAACTGATTTGAGGTCAAGTGACTTGCCCAGAGTCACCCAATCAAGAAATCCCAGAGCTCCTCTCCCTCCCCTCACCTGGAGTGGCAGGCTGAATGCCCAAGCCATAGGAGCTACATCTTCTCTGGGTTCTAGAGCATCTTCCGGAAGAGCCAGAGGTAGTCATTTACTTCTGTAGCTCAGGAGACCCTGTTGGTGTGCTTTCCTCCATGATTCTCAGTTGAGTCAGTAAAACAAAGCAAAACAAAACTGGCTTTTTAGAAATGTCTATTTCTATGTTGATCGAGTTGGCGCAAACCCTTGAATTCCAGACTAGCTGGACGATTTCATGAAAGTCTCACAAGTCCTCAGTTAATTTGAACAGACAGTGGTTGTCCTTAGTTGAAATGTCTTGTGCATGGTTTCTAATCTTTTCCTCTGGACGTAGTCTAGCTTTTCAGTGTGCCTAAGATAATATGTAATACTTTAGTCGTATTATAACTGAGTTAGAGTATAGGAAGGATATTCTAACAACCTCATATAATTATTCCCAATTTATAGGTGAAGAAACAGGGTCAGACAGATTAAGTGATTTTCTTATGATCACAAAGCTAGAAAGAGAGAATCAGGATTCAGACACAGAGTATTCCTTCAGTATTTTTTCAAGATTTTTTTGACATGTTGTTTATTTACTGGTGACTTTATCAGTGGTGGAGCAGATCCCATCACTGAGCATCAGGAGACCTGGAGATCATCAATTTTACACCCATTTGACTGTGGCTAAATCAGGTCACCTCTCTGGGCTTTAGTTTCCTCATATTCTAGAATTCGATGATCATATTGAGATTCACCATGACCACTTAGATGGGCACCTGCTTTGAAATTTACAATCTTAGAGAATCCCAGTTCATTGTTATTAATCAATCAACATTTATTAAGCCAGGCACAAAGCTATGTTCCAGGCACTGTGCTAAGTGCTAGGGGTACAAAAAGAGGCAAAAGACAGTTTCTGTCCTCAAAGAGCTTACAATCTAATGGGAGAGACACCATGTAAACAAACATATACAAAAAAAACCTATACACAGGATTAAACAGGAAATAATTAACAGAGTGAAGGTGCTAGACTACCAGCGTTAATTCAGATATTAAGGCAGTCTGCTACAGTGGTGAGCACACTGGAGTTAGTCAGAAAAACTTAGATTCAATGCTGTTTCCAGGACAGACTAGCTGATCTTCAGCTTCCTCATCTGTAAAATGGGAATCCGAGTCAGGAGAGGGAATTTCCAAACCAAGAGTTTCCCAACCTACTGAAATCTCGGGACAAAAATGGGCAAAAATATAATGCTTGTCAGCCTTTATTAAGAGGTTTGTTGTGGGGCTTGCATGAAACACTCTTTGTAAAGCCCTTTGCATCTCTGTGAGTGCCAGTGTGAATGCCAGTTGTCATTATGGTAGAGCCCGCTTGGCGTAGTAGATAAGAAAAAGACCTGGGTTCAAAGCCTGCCTCTGGCACCTACTGATTCTGGGATCTGGAGCAAGTCAACAATCCAGGCAACTCTCAGCCCAGAGGATGCTGAGCTATATTGACAGAGATGCCCACTCCCTGCATGCTCCTAGCCCAGTGGAGCCCCAGGCTCCCTCCCTTTCTCGTCCCAGAGTGGTAGACTGCAGTCTTAAAGATGAAGCCCATCTTTGCACGGTAAAGGATCCTGGATAATCATTTAATTCTCAGAATGTAGAGAGAAGTGACATTGTGCAGAGCTAGGGCCTGAAAGAAATTGTATCCAGGCAGGCTAAGAAATTAGATCCTGACTCTGGAATAAGTAAGACTTATTAGGGTCTTCATGCTCCCTTACACCTGATGGATTGTATTCTCATACAAAGGCTGCTGCCGCTGTTGCTTCTCCTTCACTCTTGAAGAGGACCATGGCATCAGGGAGGTGATGCCACGACTTGCATGTGAATTGGATTTAAGTAAAGTCACCAGCCTCACTTTCTTCTCTGGAGCCGTCTGAGGCCAGTAGCCAGATATAGATCAGGAAGACTGGAAATGACCCCCCTTAACCCCCACCAAGCAGTGGGAGACCTTGGCCTTTTATTTAATTTAATTTAATTTTTTTTGGTGAGGCAGTTGAGGTTAAGTGACTTGCCCAGGGTCACACAGCTAGTAAGTGTCAAGTGTCTGGACTGAGATCACATTTGAACTCAGGTCCTCCTGAATCCAGGGCCGCTGCTCTATCCATTGCGCCACCTAGCTGCCCAGTGAGATCTTGGCCTTTTAAAGCTAAGGTCTTTCCCAGGTCTCAGTTTGACTGAGGCAATGGCCAATCAACGATTAAGGCTAGTTAAGAAATGAGACAAAGAATGGCCTCTTTAATCCTAGTAAAAAAAAAATCAATCTGGGAGGGGGAGACCCTCAGGATTTCTACCAAAGAGGAAAAAATTGCTGTTTACATTCACTCTGAGCCATCTGGGCCCAAACAGTGACCACTAAGCAGGGGCTGGGACCTATTGTTGGCCAATCAATGAGAGCCAGAAGGAATTCAGTTTAAGGCATGGTCCTTAAGAAAGAAACCTAGCTGATCAAAATTTACATTCCTTTGGGCAGAGCACCTGTAGATAAGGGTATGACACCCTTTGTGGACAGAGGGAGAGGAAGGAGGAGAGGAGAGGAGACAAAACAGGAAACGGGAGAAGGGAGGGGTGTTAGTAGTGAAGTAGGCTGCGCCCTGATCCTGGTGTCAGGAAGGCCTCAGATTCTTAGCTGTGTGACTTTGGGCAAGTCACTTCATCTCTCTCTGCCTCAGTTTCATCAACTTTAAAAATAGAGATAATAGTGTACCTACCCTCAGGCTTGTCATGAAGACCAAATGAGGTTAATTGGGAAAAGTTTGGCACAGCCTCTGGGCCACAGTAAGCACTTAATAAATGCTTATTTCCTTTTGTCCTCTTTGCCAGTGGGGGAGGAGGAGGGATTAGACTGGTTGTGGGTTGCTTGACTTTTCTCTGTGCCAAAGGACCTGTGAGCCTTGAAGGCACACGCCATTTTCTCTGCTTGGTAAGGTTCCATGCATGACCTTTTGGAAGAATGGCATCTTCTACTGACCACTCTGCTTCAGTGTCCTCTGCAACCATCTAACCAGGGAGCAGGGATGGGCAGCCCTTGTGGAGGGCACATTTCCTTATTCCCCTTCAGACCACATGTTCCTTTATTACAAAGAGGCACCCAAGACAGGCTGTCAATATTCACCACATTCTTCAGAGTTTTCCAGTGTCTTTTAAACTGTGTGTCACTGAGTGGCAGAGTTGGCCATTGTCTGGTCACCTCCTCATGCCCTCAAAGTCATGGGGCCCACCTCAGCCTTGGCCCAGGCCATGCAGCCCCCAGTGGGTTTGAAGACCTCCTGGACTAGGGAAATCACTACTTCCCAGGGCAGTTTCAAGCAAGGACATTTCCATCAGATACCACTTAAAGCGCGGCATTTCTATGAAATAACAGCAAGGACGCAGCATATGCCCTGAGTTCAGCAGGTGTTTATCAGTGGGCATGGCTTTGAGTAAAATGTCCTGCTGAGTGGAAGGTGTTGAGTTGATGATTCTAAACGAGAAACTTAGCCTTGTGTGAAGAAAACTTGGCTGCAGAAGTTGGATTTCATGTATATCAAACACATCTTTCTTTCAGTAGAGAATCAAATATTTGGTTATTGTCTATTTGGATACAGAGACACAAACTGGGAGAGTGAGAGAGAGGGCCAGTCTGTACTCCTTGCACAAGGGGAATGTACCAGTCACTGCTTCTTCATTCAAGGGCTGGCAGTGTTA